ACGCATATGGGAACATTGCACACGCGTTTGTATGCAACAGGCAGCAACAGCATTAGAACCCTCCTCTGGGCCTGGGAGGGCAGCTCCCTGAACTCCGTCAACTCATGACACTAAGATAGCAGCGGATCTTCACATCACGAATGCCCCGCCCACACATGGGGCTGGATCATGAGCTCACACCATAGTCAGTAGGTTCCAGAGTTAATGTTCTGGTGGGAGGAGCCAGAGCAGCCCCAGCGGAGGGCAGGATTTCACCGCTCACTGGCCGGGCTGTGAGGAGCAAGCGGCTGCCGCAGCCCAGCCCTGCCCAAAGGGCAGTGGCCACCACAAGCTGCGACAGACCCACCCCACTTCTCCTCAGGACGTGGCACATGGGGAGGCCTCCCCGACCTCTCGCCTTCCCTCCAGGATGCGGGCGCTGAAGGCCCCGGGTCGTTACCTGCATGGTGGCTTCCACGTCTCTCACTCGGCAGCGGCTGGGGTGTGATTACACCAGAAACAGAACGGGGGGGGGGCTTCAAGCTCCAACTCACCCATACCCCCTTCCTACTCAGCACGGCTGCATGGACAATACCAAACCTCACCAGAGAAAGGGGTGATCGGACAAAGGAGAGGGGAACTCAGACGGCAACGACCTCCCATAGCTCCTGGATTGTTCATGACAGCCAGCAGGGTAGAAATCGCGCGAGGACTGAAACAGAGCAATGCATCTCCGCCCCTCTCCCCCTACCAATGGTATTGCCCAGCGCACCCACAACACCTCGGGGCAGGAAGAGAGGGAGGGACAATTGTTCAATGAGAGTGCGGCAGAGGTGTGGTGGGTGGAGCTTGTGGGGAGGACTGATGGGTGCCATGCTGTAGAGCGGCTGGTGTGGGCTGCGCAAGGGCTGGGCCTGTGGTGGTGGGATCCTCCCACCCTACACCCAGGAGGTTACGGTGTTGTGGCTCTGCCCAGGCCATAGGTGGCCTGATATGGGGGGCAGCCCCCCCGCCCAGGTGGGGTGCGACGCGCATGTAAGTCTCAGCTGCACCGGTCCAGGTGGGAGTCAGGACAAGCTCCAGGATGTTAGTGGGAGTGGGGGACCCTGGGTGGGGGGGACTGGCGGGCTCCCAGGATGGAGGAGAACTGAGGGCAGATTAAAGGAAGCACTCGAGGGAGTGGGCAAGTCACAGTGCCCTGGCTGTCACCGCTGAGCAGGCAGCCCCTCCATGGTGAGAGGCTGGCAACCAGCACAGCTACACAGACTCCTAGGATCTCCCTGCAATTAGAAAATCCCCTATTGCAGTGTTATCGACACTCAAGATTTTGTCCTGCATCTCATGGTAATTACTGTTTTCCTTCTGGAGTCAAGTGAATATGTGATGAGTTCAGCCTTCATTCTCAAAGTACATTCTAGCCACAGGTGTCGACTGTCATTTCCCCTGGGGTGCTCGACCCCTGCTCTGCCCCCACTCCACCCATTCCCCCAAGGCCCAACCTCTTCCCTCCCCAGCTCTGCCTCTTCCCACCCTGTTTTGCCCCCTCCCTCAAGGGTGCCCCCTCCCCCACAGCACCTCTTGCCGGCTGCTGAACAGCTGATCATGGCAGGCAGGAGGCACTGGGAGGGGGAGGAGCTGATCAGCAGGGTCGTGAGCATCACAATTTTTTTTTTCCCATGGGTGCTCCAGCCATGGAGCACCCACGGAGTCGGCACCTATTATTCTAGCCCTTGTGGTGGTGAAGGCTTCAAATTATGACCCCAGTGCACCTAACGCCTCAAAAAGCAGAAGGCAAATAAAAGAAACACCAAATCTATTATTTTTACATAATCCCATGGTTTTAAAGCCAACCTTGTGATTGTTGGTGACTCTTACTCATGATTTTTGAATGTTTGGGGATGGCAATGCTATTGCTGACAGTGGCTGTCTGCCATGGGGCTCCCCTTGGCAGCTGATGAGAACAGATTGGCTGCTAGGGTTGATGTAACAAAGCTGTTTCCCTACAGTTACCCCAGCCCAGGCTACATGGTGCGCTGTCCTAATGCTGAAAACGTTCCCACCCACCCCCCACCAGCTTCACGACAGCTAACTTGTTTTCAAATTTAGCTGAAACAGTGACATCGAGAGACTCATATGGCAATCTTGAGTGGGGCCTCTAGCCACTACCACCACATAAATATTAAATACAAATATATTTATTTATGGTGATTTATCACAATATATTCAAAAAGCTGCCCATCTGTGACTCTGGGCGTTTTTGATATTTAAAAAGAAAACAAAGAAGGAGCTAAAAGCTATGAGCTTCTAACATATAGAGTTTAATTATAAAATTGCATAATTAAGCCTTATAACCCATAAATAGAGCAGTCCCTAGCCATAGAGGCACTTCAAACAGTGGAAAGGGGACTCTGATGCATAGAATGGGTCCTCAAACTACAGGGTTTTTGTGGCCGTTGGTGATGATGATAGGTATGCAAACTCACTGAGTTCTCAAGTGTCCGGTGGTCCAGTCAGGTTTGCAACTCGGAAAGGGGGGGCGGTAGGAAAAGGACAGGTCCAACACCAAAGCCAGAATTTTATGTGACTGCTTCCAAGGGTAATGTACATCTTAGAACAGAGAGCATCTTCCCAGGTTTCACTCTTTGGAAGGCTTGGGGAACCGTAGTTGGCCAGCAGCCTTGGAGGCAATTATGCAACAATTTTGCTTCCAACGTATTTTTCTTTGAGCCAAATTACTATCATTAGGATAGCAATAGTACTGGCTTAGCCAGACAGACCTAAAAATAGATTAAATGATTTAAGCTTATTTTAGAAATTAGTTTGGCACTGACAGACTGTGCCATATTGTGCTCTGTAGATCCATGAACAGATAGCCCACATCTCCCACACAAGTGGGGCGAAAAGCTCAGTAACCTCTGTAGATTCTGTGGATCTCTCTCCAAGCAGTAAAAAGTAGGGGGAAATATTTTACTCTGTAGAGTCATAGAGAGTAAGGCCAGAAAGGACCACCAGATCATCTAGTCTGACCTGTATATCACATGCTACCAACACCCCCACACACTAAACCCAACAACTGAAATTAGACTAAAGTATTACAGCTCACAGGAGACTAGACTGTTATGTGCCACAGGCACAAGAGAATGAGGGGGATCGAGGTGCATCCCTGCCTGAAGCCCTTGCTATAGCCAACAACAGGGAAATCGTTAAGTGAGGTATACCTAGGTCAGGGGTTCTCAAACTTCATTGCACCGTGACCCTCTTCTGACAATAAAAATTACTACCCAACCCCAGGAGGGGGGACTGAAGCCTAAGCCCACCTTGAGCCCTGCTGCCCCGCATGGGGGAGCCAAAGCCCCACTACCTCAGGCGGGGGAACAAAGCTGAAGCCCAGCCTGAGCCTCACCACCCAGGGTTGAAGTCCTCGGGCTCTGGCTTCGGCCCAGGTCCCAGTAAGTCTAAGCCAGTCCTGGCGACCCCATTAAAATGGGGTCCTGACCCACAGTTTGAGAACCGCTGACCTAGGTAATCCTGTCAAGTGACCTGCACCCACATACTGCAGAAGACAAAAAAACATCTAAGGTCTCTGCCAATCAGATCTGGGGGGGGAAATTCCTTCCTGACCCTACACCCTCTGCCCCCCAGAGCCCAGCCACGGGGCACCCTCTAGTCCAGACACCCACACACCCCTCCCACCAGAGCCCAGTCCCCAGCCCCACCCACACGTAGCAGGGCAGCCCCCGGCCCAGCCCCCCAGACACCAGCGCCCGCCCTCTCCACAAAGCCCAGCCCCGGGGCAGTGCCGGCCAAGACACCAGCCCCACAGCCCAGCTGCAGGGCAGCCCCCAGACACCAGCGCCCCCAGCCGTGGGGCAGCCCCCGGCCCAAACACCAGCCCCACGCCCCCCACAGCCCAGCTGCAGGGCAGCCCCCAGACACCAGCGCCCCCAGCCGTGGGGCAGCCCCCGGCCCAAACACCAGCCCCACGCCCCCCACAGCCCAGCTGCAGGGCAGCCCCCAGACACCAGCGCCCCCGGCCGTGGGGCAGCCCCAACTTCTTTACTGTCCCGCCAGGGCACACAGCGTGGTGCGCCCGCGCCCCTTCCTCACCCTCCGCCAGAGCTGGCCGGGCCTCCCAAGCCCGCTCCTGTCCCCGGGAGAAGGAGGATCAAAGAGCGAGCAGCCTCCAGCCCAGCCAGGCTGAGCGCTCCGCTCACTGCGAGCTGGGCTTTGCAGAGTCCAGCGGCGCCTAGTGGTGGCCAGAAATTATGTGGGGAAAACAGAGAATGCTGCAAAATTCTGCATAATTGCCCCAGGACTAGGCGATCACTTAGCCCCTGACTATATGAGCAAGAACCACCCAGCCTAGCACCTGTAGGAGAGAATTCAGAGCCCTGGTCCTATCTCTAGCTATGGCCATTCCTGATGCTTCAGAGGAATGAGATAACAGCTCTCCCCGCCCAAAATCCTTCTTGACTCTTGCAAGTGGTTGTCTGAAACCCTGATGTATGAGTTTTTAAGAACATAGGGCACAATTTAACTGTGTAGCCATGACATTTCTTTTTTAAAATAATATTGTTCTTGAAAATCTTCTCAATGTAACTTATTCTGTGTTTTTACACAAACCTATTCACAATAACATAACAAAATCTATGAAATAATGGCCCCTTCTTGGAGAGTTAATTAACACAAAAGTAATGATAAAATATAGTTAATAGAACACAAGTCTGTGTATATGTATTTCCAATAAAGGAACATTTCTTGATGGGGTTATTGTAGATTCTGTTATTGGGAACAGGAAAAACATACAAAGAATAAAGTGTCAGTGCTTGGTGTTGTCAGGATAGCTCTGTTTTTCCTACCATCTTCAGCAATGTATACAGATTAATAGAGTTGCTGCCCTTCTGTCCAGGGTCCAGTAACCAGAGCTGGTTTCAGTAATACATCTAGGGTCCCTTTCTAAAATAAATAACATGTGTGACCCAAGCCCATCTAAAACCTTCTCTCCCACCCCATTTCACAAATTTAAAACCTAAATACCCTTGTTACCTTTCCATAATGATCAAAACCATAAAGTGAGGAATATGATAAGCCCCCTCACTCTTACATAACTCAGCTTATTGAAGACCCAGAGAGTGTACAATACAATCCTCAACCACTTGTAATCTCACCCATGAATTCAGATAGGTCTACTGGTATTTAAGCAGACACTGGAATCCTGTCTGCTTCAAACTAACTCCACCTATATCTTGTAGCCATCTAAACTAGTACCACAGACCCAGCATCAACGCTAGATAACACACAGAGCTCAGCATTTCTAAGTAGACAAAGCAAGACACCTGAACCAAATCCACAGGGATGTTTTGGTTTCTCTACCCTACCAGAGTGAGAGTCTAATACCGCTCAGTTCAGGGTGGCTCACATTCCCCAGGCTATCCCTTTCCAAATTTCTCCCCACTTTCATAAATATATGTACCTGTATATATGAAATAATATCATTTCCAAAAACAGACCACAAACTCTTAACAATACAATAAAACACTATACTTACATACAATAATTAAATTACAATCAACCTGGAAAAATAGTTAAAAGTAGTTACAGGACAGGTACTATGCCAGCTTCTGCCATTTTTTTTTACAATAATATTTTCCTATTTTAAAACTGTTTATTTCCTACCCTGTTACATAAGAACATAAGAACAGCTGTACTGGGTCAGACCAAAGGTCCATCTAGCCCAGTATCCTGTCTACTGACAGTGGCTAATGCCAGGTGCCCCAGAGGGAGTGAACCTAACAGGTAATGATCAAGTGATCTCTCTCCTGCCATCCATCTCCACCCTCTGACGAACAGAGGCTAGGGACACCATTCCTTACGCATCCTGGCTAATAGCCATTAATGGACTTAACCTCCATGAATGTATCCAGTTCTCTTTTAAATGCTGTTATAGTCGTAGCCTTCACAACCTCCTCAGATAAGGAGTTCCACAAGTTGACTGTGTGCTGTGTGAAGAACTTCCTTTTATTTGTTTTAAACCTGCTGCATATTAATTTCATTTGGTGACCCCTAGTTCTTGTATTATAGGAATAAGTAAATAACTTTTCCTTATCTACTTTCTCCACATCACTCATGATTTTATATACCTCCATCATATCCCCCCCAGTCTCCTCTTTTCCAAGCTGAAAAGTCCTAGCCTCGTTAATCTCTCCTCATATGGGACCCATTCCAAACCCCTAATCATTTTAGTTGCCCTTCTCTGGACCTTTTCTAGTGCCAGTATATCTTTTTTGAGATGAGGCAACCACATCTGTATGCAGTATTCAAGATGTTGCTCTTTGAAAGACCCACACAAACACAGAACCTAAGAGCTGGAGCCTCAAACAGATTTAGGCACCTAATTATCACTTTAGATGCCTAAATCCAATATTTAGACCTCCAATAACCCTGCTTGACTATCTCCTAATCACGTAGGTGCCTAAAATACTTAGGCATCTAAGTTTCTGATAAAGGTCCCCTAAAAATATGGCAGTGATTATACAAACAGCCATTTAATCCTGACACCAGGATGTCTAAATCTAGGCAGGATCCTCAAAATTTAGCCTGTGAGGCCTGATCCAGTAGGTGTTCTTAGAGACTGACCAACAGATCAGGCACTTCACAAAACATAAGGTATCACCCCCACCTTATAACCTTTAGCCTTAGGGTGACCAGACAACAAGTGTGAAAAATTGGGGGTAATAGGAGGCTATATAAGAAAAAGACCCCAAAAATCGGGACTGTCCCTATAAAATTGGGACATCTGGTCACCCTATTTAGCCTCGAAGTTAGAACACTTATCCAGGATATAGGAGACCCAGATTCAAATGCCTTGTCTGCAGGAGGTTGTTCAATCAACATCTTGTGCAAGTGCTGTATCTGCTGAGCTATGAGGTGTTCTAGGCCAAGTTTTTCTCAGTCCTATTTAAGCTATTCTGCTGTGTGTAACTAATGAAATATACATTAGAGCAGGGACTTGAAAAGTGCCCTAAACACAGGGCTGGTCAATCATTTGCATGCTTTCTCTGGCCCAATTAATGCTAATTATTTATAAACATGCTGGGTCAAACAGTTTCAACAGGAGCAACTACGAAGGCCCCATCCTAGAGTGCTCATAGCCCAGTAGTTAGGGTGCTCTATTGAAAGACAAGTTTAAATCCTTATTTCCCATCAGGCAGAATAAGGATTTGAGCTTTATGTCTCTCCCATCCTGGTTTGGGGCGCTAACAACAGGGCTAATAGTTTTATATATCAGCAACACTACCTCTTTTTTTGCAAGAAAGGGCTTGGGCATCCAGCTTCAGGAGGGAGTTCACAGATATGAATTCTAACGAGAGATAGGCGCCTTAAGCCCCTTTGAAGAGATGTAGGCAAAACTCCTTTCCTGGGCATTCCCTATTGGCTAGCTTGAGTGGCTCCCTGCTCAGCTTTGCTGGCTTTTGCCATTCCTAGGCACCTAATTCTCCCTGTGCATCCCTAACTCAGGGTTGTGGATTCCATTAGGCAACAGGACACCTAAATTTAGGTGTTGTAGCACTGAGTATAAGTGGATCTAGCCCTAACTATGGACTATAAAGGAAACAGAGAAGCTATGTACATACAATATGATGTTAAATACATAAAGTAAACACATTGAAAACGTTAATTTCAAAAATCTTTCACTTGTAACCTTGTGTGTTACTCACAGGCAATAATAGGTACATTTTCGGACAGAAGTGTAAGTTTTAAGTTGACAGTGTGCCATTTAAATTTGTACTTGCAGTACGCTGCAAATGTCTGCACTCCTGTTTGAAACAGCGTGAAGGTTCTCTCCCCCGCCCAAACCATACTGGTAATGAGTGTGAGTGGTGAGGTACAAGACTGCTGTGATTCTTGTTGCTGGACTACATTTCCCAGCATTACTGCTCAGCCTGGGAAGTGAGACAATGTCATTATTCATTCGGAAGAAGTTTTGTTGGACCAATGAAACAATCCCCTTTCCTCTCCTGCCCGCTCAGACTGACGATAGGGTTAACCCGAAGATGCTGTTCCAGCTCCAGGGTTAAAGGCAGAAGAATCGATACACACAGAGACAAAGAAACAGGGACACGGCAGCAGCTCCTGATTGTGTCTACTCCGTGGTAACTAATGTAGTTAACTAGCTTCTCCGTTGTAGTTTGCTTAGGGGGGAAGTGGAAATATTCAAGACTTCTTTGAAACAAACAAGTTAACGCTAAGTCAAGGCAGATGTGTAACTGAGCAGATGTGATTGCAGCCGTAACTGAGACACAAGTTACACTTTAGCACACGTTTTCTACCCCTTCTCTGCAGCTTGGCCTGTCTTCTTGTTTGTGTTTTTTCCTGAAGAGGAAATCTTGTAAATGTTTAGCATTTGGCTGCTTTGTTACTTAACGCTTGGAACAATTCCCGTGTTCACTGTATCGGGTGGAGGAAACCAGCTGAGTCCGGAGAACAGTTTAATATGGGGACCTGGTCTGAGAGCAGATGTTGTCCTCCCTGCTCGATATTTTTATGTTCAGGCTTTGGACACTGAAGGGCAGAGGTAAGCATGACAGCACCTTATCACAGCAACTTTAAATTGTGTTTATGGCCAAAAAGATGTTCGAGTTTAAAAATGGCACTTTCTTACTTCACAGGTCTAAATACTCATGAGGCTCCCATCCCCACAGTATCTGAATTTAAAATTAGAAATGACTATGTTCCCTCGCTGGCATTCCCAAGGCCCTTTCCCCAGAAATATTTAAGCATTGTGCAACTTTACTCAAATTACACACATGCTTAAGTGTTCTGAGGATCTAGGTCCAAGTCATACCTACAGGATTTCCTTGACAAAATAACTTTTACTACTTTTCCTCCAGTTACACTGCAGAGCCAGACCCCACACATCTAGATTACATTCCATTGTGTTTTGTACATCACCAGTAGAACTGGCCCTACCCTCTCTTCAGAGCCACATGGGTATGCCGGCTGCTACTCTGAAACCTGTATATATTGGCTCTCTTGTTATTTAATTAAGAAAGCTGCTTAATTTGCCTTTCTTGCAGAAAAGGATATTAATGTTGAAGGCCCCAAATCTGACTTATATTTTTATGCCTTATATCTCTTTGTAAACTTTGTTTAATTGTCATGTGTCAAAATGCTCTAATGTTATTTTAATTAAATGAATTCTAGCAGACCTTACTCCTGGAAATCAGTGTACTTGCACAATA